TTGATAAAGTGAACCTTGAATCAGGGGGCGGAGTCAGTGACTAGCTGACCGGGGATTAAGCATAGAGAAGCCAGGAATAAGGACAGGGAAGACAGACAGGAAGGAGAAGGGAGGGACTTGGAACTCATGTGCACTCTTTGGTCTGGGGAGTAGGGATAGAGGGAGTGACCCTTCCTCTATCCTTTCCTGGATAGCTGGCCTTTCCTCTGCTGCTTTCTTGATCTATCAGGCTTTTAACTCTGATACTGGACTCCCAAGTTTTTATTAATAATAGAACAATTTAGATAAATGCTTCAAGGTTGTCCTCTGGTCTCCACATTCATGTGTAAGTATGTTCAAGCACACTTGCATTCACACACTCATGAACACACACACACACACACCTCAAACTCATATACATACATATGTATTTAAGATTGGGGGTGTCAAGAAGACAGGTGCCCACTCTCTGCTTAGTAGAGCTGAGAGATCCAGAGGAGGGCTGTCCTCTACCATAAGAGAGAGGTATCATTGTGGATCAGTGATGGTTTCAGGCCCACACCTGGATTCCAACCTCAGTTTTTCTGTTCCAGGATGATCTGCCTATGGAAACAGAGCTTAGCAGAGAAACCCGTGGGGCTATGACACTTTCAAGGGTACAGATTTCAAAACAGTTTATTATAGTAATATTAACATTATATTGTTAATTAACATTTTAATTTTGTAGTTTGGTTAAAAGTCTAAGGTTAAGACTTGTGAGATCTCCCCCTCACTCCTGTCCCCAGCTCATTCTGGAAGCAAACCATCCTTTTGTTTCCAACATGACATAAATTCTGTTCTGTTACATTTTTGTTTGTTTCGGTTATTTGAGGCAGGGACTCACTATATAGACCAGGCTGGCCTGAAACTCACAGAGCTCCACCTGCTTCTGCCTCCTGAGTGCTGGCATTAAGGGCGTGTGCCGCCATGCCTGGCATAAATTCTGTTTGTTTCATGTCTTTATACATATGGACACATACATGCTGTCCTTTAGATGACTTCTCTCTTTCCTTCTTTCTCTTTTTAGTGGTGTGTGTGTGTGTGTGTGTGTGTGTGTGTGTGTGTGTGTGTGTGTTACTTTGCTTCCATGCAAACAACCGTGCATGGGGGTGTGACAATGTGGAGGTGAGGGAGCCTGTGGATGTGTGTGCAGGAAGAGGAAGGCTGTGCAGAGGAAGCAGCAGAGTCTCTCTGCTGATCACTTGCATGCCTGGTGCCCAGGAAAGCCAAAAGATCCCCTGGCATTGGAGTTATAGATAGAACTGAACCTGGGTCCTCTTAACCAGTGCGCCATCTCTCCAGCCTCCCCTTTAGAGCTTTTGAGACAGTGTTGCATGTTGCCCAAGCTGGCCTTGAACTCAGGATGTAGCCAAGGCCATCCTTGAACAGCCTTTTCAGCGCTAGGTGTGCTCCCCAACACCCGAGTCCTTCTGGTTTAACCGGATGTCTTGAGGGGGACTGGCTCTCTGTTCACAGTGACCTTCCTGTGAGTCCTTGCAAGTCACAGACCCCAGGGCAGGGACGCAGACATTTACCCTCCCCTCTGTGACAGGCATTCGGGATGTCCGAGCTTGTGTGCATGTAAGCAAGGCTGGTGTTCGCGCAGGTGCTGTGCAAAAACACTTGGAGCCAATTACTTACACACAGAAGTCAGACGTCTGTTGTACTTTGGCAGGAGCCCTTCCATGGAGCTTGCCCCCAACCACCTCTGCCTGTGTCCCCACAATTTCCACAGTTCTCCAAACTTCTGACCTTAGCCAACTTGGAAAACTGGAAGTAGGTGTCTTTGTGAAGCTTTTCTGGAGCCTTCTTTGGTTCTGGTGGGTGAATCTTTCTGTATTCTACCACCCTGAGGGCAGACGTGCAGGGACCCAGGTTGGCGGCCGGGGTACACTTGTTAGAAGGAGGTACTGCTAGAGAGGAGGGGTCTGTGGAAGCCGAGAGACCCCGCTGCTTCCTCTGCACAGGCTCCCTCTTCCTCCACACATCCGCGGGCTCGCACACCTCCAGAGGGTCCCACACAAGGCTCCTCCATAGGAAGCCTCTCCCTCTTCCTGGCATTTCTTTTGCCCTGGGATTCCAGAAGTCTGGGCTAGAGAGATACCCGGTCCTTCTGTTAGAAGATAATAGACTCTGAGGCAGTCTGTCCTACCCTCTGTGGGGCAGTGAGCAGAGACAATATGTGGACATTGGCGTGCCTGGCAGGAATGGATAGCAACAATAGGCTCTAAAATTATCTGCATGACATTTCACCAGCCCCTTAGCCTCAGAGTGTGGAGACTCCTGCCTACCAAGTTGGGTCCGTGATAAAGGAGCAGACCCTTGCTGAGTCACAGTCCACGCCTCCCCTACTCGCTGGACTCTGGCTTCACATCCTTTGTTCTCACCCTTGAACCTGCCAAGCTCTCCCTGTCTTTAGCCTTTGCCCTGTGGTCCTATCTTTCTAGACTCTTCCTCCTCCCAGGACCCACATCCCCACCTTCCCCGCCCCTCTGTCTCTCACTCAGAGGGACTTCTCATGGTTTGACCTGCTCTTTTTAGGTGTTGAGTGTTGCCTGTCCATCCTGCCCCTACTAAGCTCTAAGACCTGTTCATGCCTCACCCAGGACCTAAAGGTTTAGAAGATAAAGCTGAATGCAGTGCCTGGTGGATCCCGAGTCTCCTATAACTCCGAATTGTTGCTTGTCACTCGGTCAGCTCTGGTGGCCGTCACTGTTATCCATCTGGAGGGAACAACCTCACCTGGCAATTCCTGGAGAAGTACTGGTGTGGTGTGGCATATAGGAATGTTGGAGAAGCCGAGGGTGTGAGTGGAGCAGGCTGCTGCAGGCAGGCGCCACAGCTGGAGAGAGTCTCAGGCTGTTTTCTGTGGCTAGAACCGAACAATATAGACTGATTTGTTTACAAGGGGTAGATCACCGTGTGGTTTGGGCTTGGAGCCCTGCAAAATCCAAGGGCATGGCGCTGCACTGTGCTGTGTGGCTTTGGGCTAGGAACATAACTTTTTTTGTTCCAACATAACTTGGAGAGGGTATCTGCAGCAACATGAGGCACTTTTTACAAGTCACTCTGCTGTAAACCTTGAGCCCATCCCCCCACCAGCGTATGAAAGGAGGAATTGATTCAGGAGGGCAGAATCCTCATAACACAAAGATCCCACCTTCAAATACCATTAACATATGCCTTGGGAGGGGGTTAAGTTTCCAACACGTGACAGGACCCTAGGTCCAGAAGTGGGTGTTAGGCCTCCAGTTTGGGGGAGTTGGGGACAGGAGAGATGGCTTAGTGATAATAAACATTTGTTGCTCTTCCAGAGGACCAGAGTTTGGATCCCAGCACCCATATCAAGCAACCCACCTACTTATAACTCCAGCTCTGGGGGATCTAATGTTCTCTTCTAGTCTCTGTGGGTACCCACATGCTTATGCATATGCATATAAGCAGACACACATACATGCATAAATAAAAGTAAAAAAAAAAATCTTAGATTAGAAACTGGGGCTCAGAGAGTGACAGACCCCGACCACCATGTTGGTCATTGTGCTTCCAAAGCTGTCAACACACATCAAGGAGCCATGTCACAGGTCTGTAATCCCAGGACTTGAGAAGTAGAGGCAGGAGGGTCAGGAGTTTAAGGTTATCCTTGGCTACACAGTGGGGCCAGCCTGAGCTACATTAGAGTCTGTGTAAACAAGTGAAAGCACTTGGCACAATGCTGGTGGATCGATTGACCAATTTGCATTTGCACATCTGAGCACCGAAGGTTTTGTCAGTGCTTAGAATTTGGGGGGTTTACCTGGGAGCAACCCATGTACGTGGGTGGGAACAGTAGCCTCTGGCTGTGTGTGTTTCTCCTGTGACTGAGTCTCCTGGTGGAGAAACCCATGCTGAGCTGGGAGGTCTTTTCCACAGGAGGCTCCTGGAGTTTATGCCGATGACTCCTTTGTCCTGTAGCTGGAAGAAGCTTTGCGTGGGTACTAGATCTGACATGGGGCGGGCCCAGTGGGTGCAGGACAGGACCAGAGGTGGATACCCAGCCTGTGCTCTTGGGATACGTGCTGTGACAGACAGCTGTCTGCGCAGGCTCACATGCACACACATACACACCGCCTGCTCCTCCACATAAGTCACACTCATGCTCACAGGGCTTGGATCGTTCCACATTCCAGGCGTCCTCTTCGTGCCCACACTGTGGCAAGGTCAGATCAAGTGGTCACCAAACATCCATAGTGCCCATTCTGAGCCAACTTAAAAAAAAATGGAGATTTCTGTGTGTGTGTGCGCGTGCGTGCGTGCGTGTGTGTGTGTGTGTGTGTGTGTGTGTGTGTGTGTGTGTGTGTGCTGAGACAGAGTTTTACTACTGTAGCCCTGCCTGGCCTGGAACTCACTATATAGATCAGACGGGCTTTGAACTCATAGAGATCTGCCTGCCTCCACCTCTGGAGTACTGGGATTAAAGGTGTGAGCCATCACACTTGGTCACTTAGGATTTCTGAAAACGCTACCTGGTGTGGCTGCTCTTGCCCCTGTAATCCCAGCATTTGAGAAGATGAGGCAGGAGCTCTGGGGCAGCCTGGGCAGCAAGGCTACCTCATCTCTTAAAACAACAACAAAAGATTTGGAAAAAAAATGAATTCACCTTCCCTTCTTTTCTCCGTCCCTTCCCACTGGCCTCCCTCAGCAGCTGGCCTCCTGAGACCAGTGAAGTCCTCCCTCCCTGTAAGCCCTCCCTCTGCTCACGTTCACACACCTGCTTAGTGTGTGCACACAACCAGATGCCAAGTCTGGCAGCTCCTCCCTGCCAAACCAGATCAGGTCTGGCCCCTGACCAGGTGTACGCCCCAGAGGACATCCTGTTTTTCTCTCTGCCCCGAGCACATGTCCCAGATCGGATGCTTATGAAATCCTCTGAGTTCTTCCCTACCAGGTCCCTGATGGCCTGGTGCCCAGAGCTTGGGCTTGGTGAGGCTGGGACAGGAAGCTCCCAAGCTTGCTGAGAACAACTCCGCCCAATACGTGGAAGGAAGCAGTTACCGTTTCTGTCACCACGCATGACCGTGGAGCGCACCTGTGACCACAGGAGGAGGTGACACATGCAAGGCCACAGGGAATGTCAGTGTGGGAACCCAGCCGTGGCACCTCTGTTCGCTCAGGTACACCCGTGAAGCCGGGGAGACGCCACTGCTGATAGGACCAGGGGCTCCAGGCACCACCATTTGCTGTTGGGGTGGCATCGGCCAAGCCATTTCACTACATACAGTGAGTGCTCAATAAATGTAGCTTCTGGAAAAAAACATGGTAGCAGAGGAGGACTAAACGCATAGGGAGTATGTCAGTGTGTCTCAGACCTCATCCTAATACTTGGCATGCATGTGACTGTGCATCAAGGGGCATCCTGGGATATACATGCTTATTGAATGTATGTTTGATTTACTCCAGAACACGTGTGTCTGGGAGTTCAAAGGGAGCTCCTGTTCACCTCCAACATTGCACACCATTCCATGGTACTACTTAGAGGGTCTTTGAGCGTATGTCAGATGATGTTCATCTAAATAGACAAGTATGCTGCCTCTGTCTGTGGTCCTGGGCAAGGGTGATGTTTGAGAGAATGACACCCACCCCCCACCCCCGCCCACCCCCTGCGAAGAAGGTTTGTCAATTTCTGTACTGTGGGTCCAGAGGCATGGGGCATTCTGGACTTACATTGTTTTCATTCAAGTTCCAGGCCTGCTAGCTGTTCAGTCTTGGGCAGGATGCTTATGTGCACATACACTATGTTCCATTTTCTGTGAACTGGAGAAAGTGGTAACCCTCCTTAGATGTACAAAAGGACAAAAAAATCTCTGTAATCTACTGAGGACAGAACCTGGCCCAGTCAGGTTTGTATATGTCCCAGGGTCTCACTATGTAGCCTGCAACTCACTATACAGACCAGGCTGGCCCCAAACTCACAGAGATCTGCCTGCCTCTCTCTCTCTCCCAAATGTCAGGTTGGTCTCGAACTCAGTATGCATCCAGGAATGACCTTGAACTTCTGAGTCTCCTGCTTCTACCTCTCGAGTGCTGGGATTACAGACATGAGCCACACCTTGTCTATGCAGTGCTGGCGATCCAGCCCAGGACTCCATGCTTGCTGGGTAAGCATTCTACCGACTAGCTCCATTCGCTGGCCCAGGCGCCACCCCGAGTCTCCCTGTTTGTCCCTGTGATCCGACACTGCGTCATCCCATTACAGTGTTTATACCCTGCCGGTCTGTTGTCTCATCCGGTGGTGGGACAGTCCATTCCTCTAGACTGAGTCCCTGGAGGGCAGGGCTCTATCTGTGTGTGTCATCTCTAGTTTCGGTCAGTGTGGCTTGGCTTTCTCTTCCCACAGCAGCTCACATTTATCGGTCCAGGTGCCAGGCACTAGGCGAAGCCCTACAGGTTTTAGAGGCAAAACTAAAAATCAACAACAGAAAAGCTGTGCCATGCACACCTATAATCCCAGCACCGAGGAGACTGGGGCAGGAGGATGGTAACCCAAGCCAGCCTCAACTACCTAGTAAGGCATTGTCTCAGAAAATAATAGAGAGATGGAGAGATGGCTCAGTGGTTAGGGATGACTGCTGACCTTCCAGAGGACCCAAGTGCTGTTCCCAGCACTTGTGTCTGGTATCTAACAACTCCAGCTCCAGGGGACCCAACACTCTCTCCTGGCCTCTGTGGGCACACACACACACCTGTGGTGTTCCCTTGTGCACACATGTGCACACACATGCACACACATGCACACGAGCACACACACACACACATACACATAAGTAAAAATAAAAATAAAATTTTAATAAGTGAAAAAAAAGTAAAAGCAAAAACTGAGGTTCAGAGAGGTTGAGACATGCCCTGGGCTCACACAGCACTCGCTCTAACAAGGCACTAGATTTGGGAGAAGAGTTCTAGATGCTCACAATCATCTCTCTCGCTGTTGAAAGCCCCACGGTCTCTCCTTCCTCTCCCTCTGACACCTTCCCCACCCCTGCCAGTCAGGCCCACAGAACTGACCCTTTTAGTCCGGCTGGATTTACAGGGTTGCAGGAAGAGGGCAGCCTGCAGATCGGTCCTGGTTGAGAACTCTGGCTCCTGCTTTAAAGAGGCATAGCAAGGCTGGGGGTGATTCAGCAGCTGAGCATTTGCCTAGCATGCCTGAGGCCCCGGGTTCAATTCCCAGTACCTGGGAGGCGGGAAGTGAAAAGAAAAGGAAAAAAACAAAACAAAACCACCTCGTACTCTGGTGACTTCTAGGGGGAGGGAGTCGGGGAGGGACTGCCCGTGGGACAAAGAGCTTCCATCTCAGGCACAAAATCCTTCAAAGCGGCTGCGATGGCATCAGAGGAACAGCAGGGGGCGACCTGCATCAGCGCTGCCCCCTGTCGGTTAGGGGCCCCTCTCCAGGAGCTCCTGGCCCAAAGCCTGGTGTCGTCGGTTGTGAGCAATGCTCTACCAAGAGCAGTTAAGTTCAAGGTCAGATCTTCCACATTTCACAAGCTGAGCATAGTAGCACCCGACAGGCTAAGGCAGGAGAATGAGGAATTCCATTTCAATTTAGAAGCCAGCCTGTATACGAGGAACCCTGCCCAGGGAAAAAAGGAAGGGAGGGAGGGAGAGGGGCAGGGAGGGAGGGAGAGGGAGAGGGAGGGAGTGGGGAGGGAGGGAGGAAGGTACCTGGGTGTGTTGTGGTGTAGTACTGTAATTCTAGCACCTGGGAGTTAGGAGTAGGAAGATCAGAAATTCAAGGTCATTCTTGGTTGCATATGGAGTTCCAGACCAGCCTGGGCTACAGGCTGGGGGTGGGGTGGAGTGGAGGGGGGGCACTCTTGTGACCTTCACAGACACTGCATGCACGTGGTACATTCAGGGGAAAAAAACACAAACACATGAAATAAAAATAAACAGATAACTCCAGCTCTAGGGGGATTCTACACCCTCTTCTGGCCTTTAAGTACACAGAGACACATAAATAAACAATAAAACAAGTCTTTAAAAGAGAGCGGTCTTGCTGGGTGGTGGTGGCAAAAGCCTTTAATCCCAGCTCTCTCCTGAGGCAGATCTCTGTGAGTTTGAGGACAGACTGGCCTTCAAAGTGAGTTCTAGGACAGCCAGAGCTGTTACACAGAGAAGCCCTGTCTTGAAAAACCAAAGAGAGAGTGAGAGAGGGAGTTTTTTGTTTGTTTGTTTTTGTTTTTTTGAAGACAGGGTTTCTCTGTGTAGCCCTGTCCTGGAACTTACTCTGTAGACCAGATTGGCCTCGAACTCATGGAGATGTGCCTGCCTTTACCTCCTGAGTGCTGGGATTAAAAGCATGTACCACCACTGCCCTGTAAGAGAGAAAGTTCATATATAATTTAAATTTATTTTATGTGCTTTGGTGTGAAGATGTCAGAAACCCTGAAACTGGAGTTACAGACAGTTGTGAGCTGCCATGTGGGTGCTGGGAATTGAACTCAGGTCCTCTGGAAGAGCAGCCAGTGCTCTTAACTGCTGAGTCATCTCTCCAGCCTCATATTTTTTCTTTTTTTTTAGAAATTATTTTTTCTTTTTTTTTTCAAGATTTATTTTTATGTTCATTGGTGTTTTGCCTGCATGTATATCTGTGTGGAGGTGTCAGAAGCCCTGGGACTAGAGTTACTGACAGTTCTGAGCTGCCATGTGGGTGCTGGGAATTGAACCTGGTTCCTCTAGAAGAGCAGCCAGTGCTCTTAACCACTAAGCCACCTCCTCAGGCCCGAGAAAGTTCTATTTTTTTTTTTTTTTGGTGGGGGCCAGTGTTTAGACAGGGGTTCTCTGTGTAGTTTTGGTACCTGTCCTGGATCTCACTCTGTAGACCAGAGATCTACCTGGTCATAAAGAAAGGTAAGAATTTTCCTCAGGCAGTGACCACCAGGCTTTCTTTTACAATCCAAAACGGGAGTGGTGAAAGAGGTCAACTGAGTGCTGATGACCATTAGTGTATGAAAAGGGGGATCTGTGTGCTCAGTCCACATTCTGAGAAGTGGTTAGGTAAGAAGTTAGGGGTCTATAAAGTTAGTAAGGCTGTAAGAAAGGAGGGCCCGAGCTGAATTGTGTAAGGCTGTTACTTAAGGTCCACCTGATCTAGGCAGTGTCTCTTTGTGGAATTTACCTTAAATCAGGAGACTAGCATGTGGTGGTCTGGACTGTTATTTCTGTTAGTTCTAGAGTGTGGCTAAGGGAGATAACTGATTCCAGTGCTGAAAGGGGAGAAGTGGATGGGCTGGGGGGAAGGAAGCCTTTCCTGAGGCTGTTCTCCAAATACCTTGATTGTGTATGTCCAAAGAGTGATCAGTCCACACTGTTAGCAATTCTTAGGGAAAAATCAATTGGGAAAACTATGAAAGCACACATGATTTTCATAACAGAAGACAGTTGATTATAACAAGCCAAATAACACCAAAAGCTCCTTTGAATTTGGCTTCCTCTGAAGGAATTCCTTGATCCCTTCAGGTAATGGCTTTGACATAATCAGCTGAGTTCTTATGATATATTCCTGCGGCCTATAGCAAAAAAACCACTCAGATACATAAGATAAACAATTTTTAAAAAAAATTAAATAAATAAGACATTAGCAGGGCACCAAAGCCTCTACAAGCTCAGAGAACCCTTCTTTACTTCTTCTAATTTCTGGCAGCTACAGGTGACCCTTGCTGTCTCTAGGCCTGCAGATGCCATCACTCCCAACTACCTCTGTGTCCAAATCCTCATTTCCAGTAGGGACACTAGTCATCAGAATAGATAACCCTCCAACCCAGGATAGCCTGTCACAGGCAATTGGGCACGGCCTAATGTGCATGCTAAGAACCACAGTACAGGCTCTTAACCACTGAGCCATCTTGCCAGCTCCCATGAGTTCAACTTTACTTGATTAAATCAGGTATGGCTGGTCTGGGTGATATAAACTTTTGGAGACACCATTCTGCCTAGTCACAACCCTGCTAACAATGCTTGATTGTGAACATAAGCCTTCCTCTGTTTTTTCTAGGGACTCATGTGACAGACATGGCTCAGGAAATAAGTTTGGCAACTGAATTCTGCTCCTCTGTAATATCTATTGGGTTGTGGGCGGGGACTGGGCTGTGTGGAAGCCTGGCATCTACTGGGTTGTGGGCGGCGACTGGGCTGTGTGGCAGCTAGGAAGGAAAATGGAGGTGGCATCGCTGTTCTGGACTAGGGATCCTGGTTAGGTTGGCTAGTGAGAGAGCCCCAGGAACCCGCCTCCTGGGGAACCTCTTCCCCACATTGGTAATAGTCTATCACCAAGCCTGGCTTTTCATGTGGATTCTGTGGCTTGCACTGGGGCCGGCCTGCGGTTTATCAACTGATCTTCTCCCCAGCTTTTCCCCCCACGTTGGGGACAAGATCTCATATGTGGCCCTGGCTGAACAGGAACTCACTGTGTAGATCAGGCTGGCCTCGAACACACAGAGATCCTGCCTTTTCGGTTGGAACCTCCAGCCTGCTCCTGCAGCAGCTCCTGCACGGTCTAGGAAGCCCCATTCCTGTCTCTCCAAACCCCGCCCACTCAGAGAATCTCCAACCACGGGAAGGCACAAGCCCAGTTCTGAGTTCTGGGCAGCAGTGGCAGCTCCGTCCCTGAAGGTGCCAGCAGCCCAAGACCCTGCCTAAAGCAGCCAGCATTTCTGTTTTGTTTTTGTTAAGACAGGGTTTCTCTGTGTAGCTTTAGAGCCTGTCCTGGAACTCACTCTGTAGACCAGGTTGGCCTCGAACTCACACAGATCCACCTATCCCTGCCTCCGGAGTGCTGGGATTAAAGGTGTGAGCCGCCACAAACCCACCTTGTGGCAGACACATCATCACCCCTCAACTACAACCTATATAACCTCCCTGCTTTAGTTTGGGTGAGTGGCTTCTCTGGCCTCGAACTCTGGGCCTGGAGAACCCACCTGGGAGTTTCTTTGCTCAAATAAAACTGTTCTTATACTTTTTCTATTCGGCTTGATCCGGCTTACTGAGTTGGTGGGGGGCAGAAAATCTATTACTGCCTATGAATCTCTATAATCTCCATAGCTCTGAGACTGAAGGTATGTTCCACCATGCTCAGCTTCAGACACCAATTTGTATTTAT